AATGCCGGTACAAACAAGTGGCTGCTGGTTCTCAGAATTTCCGAGACGTCGCCCTTGGACGTTGCTTGCATAATCGAGCTCCACCGTTAAATATTTAACGTCGGTTCTTTAGCTAAACGCGCGATAAAAATATTTCTGCCTTTCCGGCTCTCAGCGGAGGGAGACGGAGGAGGAGGAGGAGGAGGAGGAGGTGATGGAGGAGGAAGAGGAGGCGACAAGTGACGCATCGCGATGTCCTCGTTAGCACCGAGATTGTTTGACTTTCGGGGTCGCGAGAAACCCAACTCAAACTTCCGGGATTCCGACCGTGACTCGGTTGTTCTAGCCCGCGTTTCGTTCTCGTTTTCCCTTTTCCTTTTTCTTTTCGTTTTCGAGTAAGATGGAAAGTATGGAAAGTACGGAGAGACGGGAATATCGGGGACGGCGACGGTCGAGCTATCGGTCGCTTAAACACGCGCATAATACCGGTTGATTTTTTGTCCAGCATCTGTTAAACACGCTGCTCCACGGCTGCTCCACGCTGCTCCGCGCGATGGAGGAGCCCGGAGGTCATTAAAAACACGCGCAGCGGAGAAAAACAGGCAGTAAAGGCTGACTAACCTTTTGTTGCGCCAGCCTAAGGGACTCTTCGAAGTGCTTGTGAACTGCCTGCTCGGCGGCCCTTTGCTTCTCGAGCCTCTCCCTTTCCATCTTGGCCTCTCTCTCGCGTTCACGCTTCTCCAGCCGGGCTTCCGCTTCTCGCCGCTCCCTGAAACGCATACAAAAGTTTCAAGGTTACACGAGCTTCGATCCACAACTCGCCTCCATTCGCTTTCGGGCCAGTGGGCAAACTTTTTCTCCTCGATCGCGTTTATTCCGCCGCGCCACACCGCGCCGCGCCGCGCCGAGTAGCGCCACGTCGATCGAGTTCGATAGATCCGCCAATCTTTTTCGCAATTTCCAGCGATAAACGCTCGCGAAGAACGCCGCGGCGTCGGTTCGAGGAATTCGAGGCTCGAATCGCTGGTTCTCTCGGATCCGCGGCGCGGATATTTCTCCGCTCTTTGAGCCGCGATTTACGACGGGAGAGGTTGCCACGCGAAGAGGAAAAGAACGGAGAGTCGGTGGATGAGCAAGCATTCGAAAAACTCGCGTAATTTATGCGACTGCGAGCCAACGTTTTCCCACTGCTTCATATTCATGTTCCTTATCGATTTACGTACTCCTCGGCTACTCGCTTCCGATACGCGCGTACGCGAGCAATTGGCTCGAGCGTTGTCGAATCCTCGTTACACGCGTGTACGTCGCTATCGGTATTATCATCGACGATATAATTACGGGGAAATTCTCTCTCCCTCTCTGCTACTTTCGCTGTGCGCGCTAGTAGACGGCTTTAAACGGAGCGACACCGAGCGCCATCGTGTCTTGGCGATCCAAACGAATGGCAAACGCACCGAGAGACATTCGTAAATGGAGGAAAAGGACGGGGATGGGAAAAACACGTGCATAAAGCGTACGAGGGAATGATTCATAGAGGCTGACCCCAGGATCGCGAAAGGTTAGTCGCTCGGACGACGAAGAAACGGATTTTTACAGCGACGCGCGAGCAAAAAGAAACGATAGGCAGAGACAGAGGGAATCGTCGGTGTGTGCACGCACGCTCGTGTGCGTGTCGTGTGCTCGTGCATGCATTCGACGGACTCGCGAGTGGTATTAAAAGAGCCGCGATAATAACGCCGACGGTGGCTGGCGCGTATATCGTGACTTTTTAACGGGCTCAGCTAGATAAGCATTCATTAATGCTTGCGCAAGTTATTTATACTGTTACGTGCGCAACGCGCGTGTTTATCTCGGTCCTCGGTCGGCGGACCTTCCAATAATGCACGCGTTGGATCCGTGCGATAAACGCGTATTTGCCAGTTCCACGAGCATCTGCCGTGCTATTTTTCGCGCGCTTCCACTTCCAGGCATAAGGCATACACCGCTTCCTCGTACACGGATCACCGCCGAGGGCACACACAGTCCTTTCTCCCCTCTCTTTTCCCCTTTTCGTTGGACCACTTTCCTCTCCGACTACGCGTGGGACGCGTTATCGTTATTTCGAATAGGGAGGTTATCTTTTATCGGGCAGCCTTCTGTTTGCTTTCCGACTCGACACCGATACCGACCGAAAGCGATTCCTCCTTTGCACCGACTCGCTCGCTCGCTCGCTCGCTCGCGCGATTAGACGTCTCACCGTCTCGAATCTCCGCTGGAAATCGCACGCCACTTTCTCTCGGATCCTCGTGCAGCCGACGATTGAAATTGCAACGTTTAAAGGCACGGAGCTACGCGCGAAAGACGAGTTCAGGGCTGGGGAGGAAATGGTGCAAGGATGTTTCAAGCGAGACACAATAGGCCGCGGAGAGTATACGCGCCGGTATTATTAATGCGCGAGGAAGACGCACGCGCGCGCACACACAATACGAGCGATATAAACGCACGGAGAGCTCCGTCCGTGGGGAAAAGAGAAACGAGCCGATGCGTTTTCCACGAGATCCAGTACCCGAACGAGGCTCGGTCGACCCGTACCCGTTCCGAGAACGAGCACGGCTTATTATTACGCTTAGACGTACCGGAACCAGTTTCTGCATCCGACCGATTTGCATCTCTAAAACACGGCTGACTTATTCAGCCGGTGCTGCATAAATCGATCCGTGGTTTCCGTCTTCGCCGAGGATATCAATTTCGCAGTTACTCGCAATAAACCGTCGCCGTATTTCTAGTCTAGACGAAACCTCCTCACGCTGTTTCTCACCGTTCCCGGCTCCACCATGCTCGTCGTTTCGGCTCGTCGCGGATACGCCGATCCTGTTTTAGCCAAAGTAACACGCGGACGATCGATCCCACCGGAAGTTTGCGATATCGATATCGATAACGACGACGACGACGACGACGAGCAAGCGGATACGCGACAGACTTTCCCCGACGTTTTCGTACGCGTCTCTTTATCGTTTTTATTCCTCGTCATTTTCCGGTCGCGAGAAACTGGATATCGAAGCGCTTCGATTTGCGTACACCGTCGAAAGGATGTATCCCCCGGCGAGCAGCGGATTAGACGAGAGCTTGGAATTCTTTTTCTCGTCACCCTTGTACAGATTTCCGACAACGAGAGGTAGAAGATAGGCTGAGCCGCGCGAAAGAACAGGTTCGAGCCGGCTCTGTTATACATAAATCAGGAGCAAAAACTTTCTTCCGAGCCGCGCGGAGTCTTGCGTTTCCAAGCGCCAGAGTCCGGTTCTTTTTAGAGTCGATCCGCGAGATTCGCTCGTTGGCGAACTTTTAATTTTATGGGCAAACTTTTGCGCGGCATTGTGGCGGGCAGTTGGAAACTCGGCCCGTAGACGAGAAAGTAAAAAGAACGCGCGTAACGGAGAAACAGCACCGTGTTAATTTAAACATTGCTTTCCGATGTTTAATAACGCACTCGAGAACCTGTTTCCTCCGCGGCGAACTTTCGGAAAATTTGTTCCGCCACGAGTTCGAGAACCGAGCGCGCGCGCGTGCACGACGACGACCTTGTCGATGGTGGAACGGCCGATGATCGAAGGAGAATCAGCGCGATCGAGGAAGAGGAGGAGGGAAAAGAAAATGCAAGACGAAAAATGGCAATTACGTTTAGCGCGACCGGGTGAAATCGTCGTGGTCCGAGAGAAGAGGTTAATCAGCGGACGAGCAGAGATGGCCGAAGGCCGACAGGACAGGAATTCCTTCTCCTTCGTCCCTTTTCTTCGCCGTTGCTCGGAAATCGAGCAGCAGAGAGGCAGCAGAGAGCCGGAGGAGAGCCGGAGGAGAGCCGGAGAGGCATGGAGCCAGGGAGGCAGTGCCGGTCGATAAACCAGTCCGGTATGGGAACAGGACAGGTTCGAGCTGCGGGCAACCTTTGAAAAATCCGGTCGCCCGAGACCGGCCTGACCAGAAGAGAGACCGGCTCTGGCCGAGCAATACACGGCAAATATCACCAAAAAAGGCCTTACGCATCCTTGCCTCTCGGCCTCTTTTGTTTTGCTCCTCGAACCTCGCTCCTCGCGTCAACCGCTCGCTCTTTCTTCGCGCGTATGCGTCACCCCGAACACGCACCACCGATCGCTTCTTCTCTTTTCGCCAAAATATACACCAATCTCTTTTTACGGCTTGGACGTGTCCGCGTTGAGTAACGCGGATCCCCCCAACCGCCACACCTTTCCACACCCGTTTCGTTCTCGCGCGAAGGCCGGTGCACGCACTCGTACGCCACCGCTTATCTGCACGGCCAATTAAATCGTACGCTCGACGAGCGTCGAGACAAAAACGAAGAAAGAGAACGCGCGAGGGGAGAGAAAAAGGGGAAAAAATGTAAATTAAGGTCACGAGGTTCGCGATAAGATAACGCGTTTCTCGAGGTCGATCGAAATCGCATCGCGATCCGCTCCGGTTTGGAGCATTTCCAAACTACCGCGATCGTGTCTCGACAACGGTTATCGCGATACGCTTGGGAATGTCGCGAATATGTTCGGCAATCGCCGGCAACCTTCGCGTCCTCGCACTCGACGCGTTTTCCTGCCAACGATCGAAACGCGCTAACCGCGTTACCGACACGGTTCAAAAGGTCCCCCGGAACTTTAACTATACCGGTTTAGAAGCGTCTCTGGTTCGACGAGGGAGAAACGCGAGACGCGTCGTTAACCTACATCTCGAACACCTAGCGAATTAACGAGAAACTGGATCGACGCGGGTAATTCGACGTTGATTCGAGGATAATTGACAGAGGATAAGCAAAACTCTGCGCTTCTTCGCGCGTGTTCTCGTTTATTCTCGGCGCTATGTCGTCGCACAGCTGTATCGCGACCTTCGCGCTTTCTCTTTCCTCGGTCAACCGAGGGATTTATTTTCGCGTAATATTTACCAAACGCCATAGAGGAGACAGGCACGACGAGGCACGACCATTCCAAACGAGGTGAGTCGAGAAACTGAGCGGTAGACGAATTTCCTGGAGAGGCCATTGATCGGTCGACGCTCCTGTTTACAAATCGTGACCCGAGTGTACGCGATAACGGGAGTCGAAGCTGTCGGGCTCTCGAGTATCGTTCCCCGTCGTAGAAACAAATGTGTATACACCAAGGTATTCGACTTTCCTCGTCGCTAATCGCTTTTGCTTCCTGCCAAAGTTATGGAAAGAGAAAAGGTCGCGTCGAAGCGACGAGGAGAACAACTTCTCGAAGACGAGAAAGAGAGAGAGATAACGGCCATCTATTTCGCACGCGTGTGTGTCGCGACGGGAAAACGATATTTCACTCTTATCCGAGCAGAAACGATTCGATTATGCTCGACGTGGAAATTTTACGGCTCATGAATTTTGTAGGATGCGCTGAATACCGCTTTCTTCGTGCGCCACGTTCGACCTTAGTCAGCCTGACATTCCGAAGGCGCACGAGACGACCAAGACCAAGATGGCTTCCAGACACCTGTCCGTCTACTCGCTACCTTCTTCCTCGCTCTTTTCCTTCCCTTTCCTTTCTTTTCACCTGACCCGCGCTCTCGCAGCGGGAAACGACCAGGCCGCGTTCCCTCTATCCGACACGACCGGCTACGAGACGCCGTGCGAACCTATTTTTGCTTTCGTTTTATGCCACTCGCCTCGACTCCGCACGCTCTACGCTCCACTCTGCTCCACTCCACTCCACTCCGCTTCGCTTCGCTCCACTCCACGGTTCCGACAAAGTCGGGCACGAACGTTGCTCGATTCTACGT